CCCAACGCGATTTGCTCTATATACCGGGTCCTAGGGAAGTGCACTTGGAAAGCACCAGACGCAGGGCCTTCTCTGTTTTTGCCCCTGCCTTATGGAATTCCTTGCCTCCCTATTTGAGAGCCATGCGTGACTTAGGGCATTTTATCCTAGCACTTAAGACCTGGCTTTTTACTAGAGCATTTGACCCATGTTAATTTTAATATTTGTATGTATGTGTTTTATCCTGTATAATTTCTGCTATGTAAATCGCCTGGAGCATCTCGGATGGAGCGCGATTAATAAGTAATTAAAGATGATGATGATTATTATTATTATTTCCAAAGTGTACATCCAGGTGTTTTGGACTTCAACTCCCACAATTCCTAATAGCCTACTGGGGCTGTTAGGAATTATGGGAGTTGAAGTCCAAAACACCTGGATGGCCCAAGTTTGCCCATGACTGGTGTACACATTATAACATGATAATTAATAAACAAAGCCACCAATGAACATTAGTAAGTTTACATTTTCCAATAACAGCAAAACCTATGTGTCCCATTTGAAAGAAAACTCCCCGACCCTACACCCAGATAGCGCCTTACAATAATTTGTCTTATCAAGCAATGTATGTGTATGTAAATTTTACAAAAATGTTTAATCCTTGTGTGTTACTGTTTATATGTGAGTTATATTAATTGTATTGTTTTTGCTTTTTGTTTTATTGATGTGTTGTCGGGCTTGGCCTCATGTAAGCCGCTCCGAGTCCCCTTGGGGAGATGGTGGCGGGGTATAAATAAAGTATTATTATTATTATTAAAACGTATTCAAAAGTGACAAATTGTACCACATTGATCATAATCTTGATCTTCTTTCTGACCATGTATTTTTAATCACTCAACACCATTATAGACCAATCTTTGAATGTTCTTCTACCTATATATTGTGAGAAAGGCTTCCAATTAATTTGAAAACATTGTATTGTTTTATTTCTAAGAAGAGAAGTTAGTTTATCAAATTCTGCAGAATCTAGCAGTTGGGTCAACTAACAGAGGGAGCTCAACCCGCTCTCTCCAGATTCAAACCTCTGACCATTGGTCAGAAGTCCTGCCAGCACAAGGGTTTAACCCATTGAGTCACCGGGGCCCCCTATTATTATTATTATTATTATTATTATTATTATTATTATTATATAATAATAATAATAATAAAGTAATAAAACATATAATACTAGCCGTCCCCTGCCACGCGTTGCTGTGGCCCAGTCTGGTGATCTGGAAAATAAAGTAATGAGAAAGTGTTGGTTTCTAATATATGTAATTCCTTTATGCTTGTGGGTAAACAGTATTTCTGGTTGTATCTTTGCCAGTGTTGATGTGGAGAATGTCTGGTTTGCCTACTCTGGAACATGCAACATATCATTGTCCTTCTTCAGAGCTCCCTTTCAAATCTATGATACTATATCTGTGTGTGTGTGTATGTGTGAATCATATAGATCTACCTATATCTTTGGCTGGATGGCTCTTAGTCAGGAGGGCTCTGATTATGTTTTCTTGCCCTGGTGAAGGGAGTTGGACTGAATGGCCTTAAGTATTTTCTGTTGGTCATGGGGATTCTGTGTGGGAAGTTTGCCCCAATTCCATCGTTGGTGGGGTTCGGAATGCTCCTTGATTATAGGTGAACTATAAATCCCAGTAACTACATATCCCAAATGTAAAGGTCTATTTCCCTCAACTGTGTTCATATTTGGGCATATGGAATATTCGTGCCAAGTTTGGTCCAGATCCATCATTGAGTCCACAGTGCTCTCTGGATGTAAGTAAACTACAACTCCCAAACTCAAGGTCAGTGCCCACCAAACCTTTCTAGTGTATTCTGTTGGTCATGGGAGTCCTGTGTGCCAAGTTTGGTTCAATTCCATCGTTGGTGGAGTTCAGAATGCTCTTTGATTATAGGTGAACTATAAATCCCAGCAACTACAACTCCCACATGACAAAATCATAATTTTTTGAGTGATGGTCACTCCTTGTGTTGTGAGACGTTTTGTTGCCAAATTTGGTGTGATTTCGTTCATTGGTTCTTTTGTTCTTAAGGTACTCATTACACACAGAGATAATATAATATAATATAATATAAGATAAGATAAGATAATATAAGATAAGATAGACAGACAGACAGATATAGAAGTATATATATGAGTCTTCTCCTGGATAAATAAAGCAGGGTATAAATACATGTAATAATAATAATAATAATAATAATAATAATAATAATAATAATAATTTGAGTCTCTTCCAGGAGAGATAAAACGGGGTATAAATAAATATAATAATAAATATAATAATAATAGTATTTTTAAATTGGAGGATAATGCTTTTATGTTAAGCCACTTTGTGTCTCCTCTGGGAGAGATAAAGCAGGGTGTAAATAATAATAATAATAATAATAATAATAATAATAATAACTGTACATGGAAGATTACTTCCTGCACTACGCAAACAACCAGACAGAAATAGACAACATTCCCTTCCCTCTTTCCAGGGCTTCCTAGTTCTGGGTTTTTTTAAAAAAAAATCTATGTCTCTTTATTGTTAAACTACCTCCAGTGCAAACATTACTAATAAAGGTAAAGGTTTCCCTTGACATTAAGTCTAGTCGTGTCTGACTCTGGGACTCTGGTGTTCATCTCCATTTCTAAGCTGAAGAGCTGGCATTCTCCATAGATGTCTACAAGGTCATGTGGCCAGCATGGCTGCGTGGAGTGCCGTTACCTTCCTGTCAGAGCAGTACCTATTGATCTACTCACATTTGCATGTTTTCAAACTGCTAGATTGGCAGGCTAACAGCAGGAGCTCACCCCGCTCCCTGGATTCAAACTGTTGACCTTTTGGTCAGCAACTTCAGCAGGTCAGCGGTTTAACCTGCTGCCCACCAGAGGAACCTTACTAAGTAATTATTGTTGTTGTTGTTATTTATGGCCTGCCTCTCCTTCCGGCTGGAGGCAGGGCATAACTTAGTTAAAATACATCCACCAAAGCACATAACTAAACATACACATGTTACAACAGGATAAGAAGCACAAAAGTAACAGGGAACTTCTCAAAGAGTGGCTGGGAACCCTCTCTCCTTTCAACCCCTCTGAAAGGCTACAGCCAGCCCTGTGTTCCCACCAGCTCCAAAAGGTTTTTAGCTTTCAAAAGGAAAGAACTGTCAACCGGCCAAGAAGCCCACCTCCTCCTGGCCTTTTCAGCATCATCCCAGAGGAAGGTTTGGGCTGGCTTTCCCAGCAACTCACTGTTCTGTCCCTCCCTCGCTGCCTTCCTGTCAGCCCAAAGAGCGCCCCAAAGAGCTGTTGGGGTTGCTGTGATGTTGATGATGGTGATGATGATGATGATGGTGGTGGTGTTTACTTACACCCCACTTTTCCCCTGCACCAGGGAGACCCAAAGGGTGAAGGAAGGAAGGAAGGAAGGAAGGAAGGAAGGAAGGAAGGAAGGAAGGAAGGAAGGAAGGAAGAAAGAAGGCTGGAGGAAAGGAAGGAAGCTAGAAGAGAAGGAGATGAAGGATGGAGGGAGGGAGGAGATGGAAATAAAGAAAGGAAGAAGAGAGGAAGGAAGGCTGGAGGAAAGGAAAGAAAGAAGAAAACAAGAAAGAAAATAGCATAGATTGCCTGGAGGGAAGGAAGAAGAAGCGGAGGAAGGAAGGAAAGTTGGCTGGAGGGAAGGAAGGAAGAGGAAAGAAGGAAAGAAGGAAAGAAGGAAGAAAAAGAAGAAAGAAAGAAAGTAGGTTGCCTGGAGGAAAGGAAGGAAGAAAAGGAGAGGAAGAAGGAAGGAAGATTGGCTGGAGGTAGGGAAGGAAGGAGAAAAAGGAAAGAAAGCAGTAAAGGGGGAAGGAAGGAAAGAAGGAAGAGAATGAAGAAAGAAAGAAGTAAGATTGGCTGGAGGAAAGGAAGAAAGAAAAGAAGGAGAGGAAGAAGGAAGGATGATTGGCTGAAGAGAAGGAAGGAAGAGGAAAGAAGGAAGGAAGAAAGGAAGAAAGGAAGAAAAAGAAGAAAGAAAGTAGGTTGCATGGAGGAAAGGAAGGAAGAAAAGGAGAGGAAGAAGGAAGATTGGCTGGAGGGAGGGAAGGAAGAGGAAAGAAGGAAGGAAGGAAGGAAGGAAGGAAGGAAGGAAGGAAGGAAGGAAGGAAGAAAGTAGGTTGGGAGGAAAGGAGGGAAAAAAAGAGGAGAAGGAAGATGGAGAGGGAAGGAAAGGAAGGAAGGAAGGAAGGAAGGAAGGAAGGAAGGAAGAAAAAGAAGAAAGAAAGTAGGTTGCATGGAGGAAAGGAAGGAAGAAAAGGAGAGGAAGAAGGAAGATTGGCTGGAGGGAGGGAAGGAAGAGGAAGGAAGGAAGGAAGAGAAAGAAGAAAGAAAGTAGGTTGCGTGGAGGAAAGGAAGGAAGAAAAGAAGAGGGAGGGAGGGAGGGAGAAAGGAAGGAAGAAGGAAAGAAGGAAGGAAGGAAGGAAGGAAGGAAGGAAGGAAGGAAGGAAGAAAAAGAAGAAAGAAAGTAGGTTGCATGGAGGAAAGGAAGGAAGAAAAGGAGAGGAAGAAGGAAGATTGGCTGGAGGGAGGGAAGGAAGAGGAAGGAAGGAAGGAAGAGAAAGAAGAAAGAAAGAAAGTTGCCTGGAGGAAAGGAAGGAAGAAAAGAAGGAGAGGCAGAAGGGAGGAAGATTGGCTGGAGGGAGGGAAGGAAGGGGAAAGAAGGAAAGAAGGAAGGAAAGGGGGAAGGAAGGAAAGACAGAGAGAAGGAAGGAAGGAAGGAAAGAAGGAAGGAAGAAGAAAGAAAGTAGGTTGCCTGGAGGAAAGGAAGGAAGAAAAGAAGGAGAGGAAGAATGAAGGATGATTGGCTAGAGGGAGGAAAGGAAGGAAAGAACGAAGGAAGGAAGGAGAAGGAAGCAAAGGAAGGGAGGGAGAAAGGAAGAAAACACCCATTCAGTCTGGTCCCGTCCCCCCTCCAAATCGCAACCCCCATCCTCTGCTGGCAGACCTGTTTGTTCTCTTCAGGGCGCCTTCCTTCCTTCCTTCCTTCCTTCCTTCCTTCCTTCCTTCCTTCCTTCCTTCCTTCCTTCCTTCCTTCCTTCCTTCTTTCCTTCCTTCGTCCCGTGGAAACAAGGACTGACCCGCTACGATGTGGCAAGAAGCGAGGCAACTGTTTCTTCTTTCTCTTCCTTCGCTGCTGCTGCGAAGAAGAAGAAGGAGAAGAATCCGGAGGGAAGTTGGCGGGAGCGCAGCAACAGCGCCGCAGCCGGGGGGCCCAGCAGCCAGGAAAGGGAGAGGGAGAGCAAAGCCGGGGGCGGGCGGGCCGGCGGGGAGGGGGGGGGCTGCAGCATCCCTCCTTCCCTCCCCCCTCCCTCCCTCGCACTCCCTTTCTCTCTTGCCTTTCTTTTTCAGGCAAAGGAGCCTCCAAGTGAGTGAGTGAAGGGGGGGGGGTGTCCTGGCAAGTTTTCCGTCGGAGCACAAAAGCAGCCCGGGACAAGCCTGCATTGGGCAAGCCCGACATGTGGCCCCGCCCCCTGCCCCCCTTCCCCAGGACCCCCTCCCCCTCATCCCTCCCTCCCTCCCTTCCTTCCAGGCCCGGCTTTCTTTGCTGCCTCCTCCTCCTCCGCCACCACATGGAGACATGCACCATATGCTTCTACGGGAGGGGGGGGGGGACTTCTCCGCCAGCCTTGCTTCCGGAAGTGGGGCGCCAGCTGGAAGCCCTTCTCCCCACCCCCTTCATGGGCTCCCCACAGTCTGGGCAGCCGCTCTTCCGCCTCCACCGCCCGCCTCGCCCACAGAAAGAGAATTGGGATACTCTTCCCAGCAAGGCACTATCATTACTCTTCCTTCCCCCTTTTCCTTCCTTCCTTCCTTCCTTCCTTCCTTCCTTCCTTCCCTTCCCTTCCCTTCCCTTCCCTTCCCTTCCCTTCCCTTCCCTTCCTTCCTTTCTCCCTCCTTCCCTTCCTTCCTCCCTTCTTTTCTTTTCTTCCTTTCTTCCTCCCTCCCTTCTTCCTTCCTTCCTTCTCCTTCCTTCCTCCCTCCTTTCCCTTCCATCCTTTCTTCCTTCCTTCCTTCCTTCCTTCCTTCCTTCCTTCCTCCCTTCCTTCCTCCCTCCCTCCCTCCCTCCCTCCCTCCCTCCCTCATAAGACCTATCTCAACTGAAATTTTCGTTCTTTTCTTCCTTCCTTCCTTCCTTCCTTCCTTTCTTCCTTCCTTCCTTCCTTCCTTCCTTCCTTCCTTCCGGAAGTTCTTCCTCATAGAATCATAGAATCAAAGAGTTGGAAGGGACCTCATGGGCCATCCAGTCCAACCCCCTGCCAAGAAGCAGGAATATTGCATTCAAATCACCCCTGACAGATGGCCATCCAGCCTCTGCTTAAAAGCTTCCAAAGAAGGAGCCTCCACCACACTCCGGGGCAGAGAGTTCCACTGCTGCGGCTCTCACAGTCAGGAAGTTCTTCCTAATGTTCAGATGGAATCTCCTCTCTTGTAGTTTGAAGCCATTGTTCCACGTCCTAGTCTCCAAGGAAGCAGAAAACAAGCTTGCTCCCTCCTCCCTGTGGCTTCCTCTCACATATTTATACATGGCTATCATATCTCCTCTCAGCCTTCTCTTCTTCAGGCTAACATGCCCAGTTCCCTAAGCCACTCCTCATAGGGCTTGTTCTCCCTTCTTTTCTTCCTTCCTTTCTTCTCCCTCCTCTCCTTCCTTCCTTCCTTTCTCCCTCCTTCCCTCCCTCCCTTCTTTTCTTCCTTCCTTTCTTCCTCCCTCACTTCTTCCTTCCTTCCTTCCTTCCTTCCTTCCTTCCTTCCTTCCTCCCTTCCCTTCCCTTCCTCTCCCCTCCCTCCCTTCTTCCTCCCTCCCTCCCTCCTTCCTTCCCAGAGGAGTGTGTCCAGAGGAGGGCTACTAAAATGATCAAGCGTCTGGAGAACAAGCCCTATGAGGAGCAGCTTAAAGAGCTGGGCATGTTTAGCCTGAAGAAGAGAAGGCTGAGAGGAGATATGATAGCCATGTATAAATATGTGAGAGGAAGTCACGGGGAGGTGGGAGCAAGCTTGTTTTCTGCTGCTCTGGAGACTAGGATGCAGAACAATGGCTTCAAACTACAAGAAAGGAGATTCCATCTGAACATTAGGAAGAACTTCCTGACTGTGAGAGCTGTTCAGCAGTGGAACTCTCTGCCCCGGAGTGTGGTAGAGGCTCCTTCTTTGGAAGCTTTTAAACAGAGGCTGGATGGCCATCTGTCAGGGGGGCTTTGAATGCAATTTTCCTGCTTCTTGGCAGAGGGTTGGACTGGATGGCCCATGAGGTGTCTTCCAACTCTATGATTCCATGATTCCCTTTCCCTCCTTCCTTCCTTCCTTCCTTCCTTCCTTCCTTCCTTCCTTCCTTCCTTCCTTCCTTCCTTCCTTCGCAGTGATTTGTGGAAGTCAAACCCAGACCAGAAAAATACATCCCCGCGCTGCCCACCACACACATGCATGCATACATGCAAACATTCACTTTTCTAAGTTCTTGTGGGTTTTTTCGGGCTATACGGCCATGTTCTAGAGGCATTTCTCCTGACGTTTCGCCTGCATCTATGGCAAGCATCCTCAGAGGTGAGGTCTGTTGGAACTGGGAAAGGGGTTTATATATCTGTGGAATGACCAGGGTGAGACAAAGGACTTTTGTCAGTTGGGCTAGGTGTGAATATTTCAACTGACCACCTTGATTAGCATACAATGGGCTGACTGTGCCTGGAGCAAACTCTTCTTGAAAGGTAATTAGATGTCCCTGTCTGTTTCCTCTCTGCTGTTTTTGCTGTTGCAATTTTAGAATTTTTTAATACTGGTAGCCAGATCTTGTTCATTTTCATGGATCCTCTCACCTCTGCAGGAGTCTACCGTGTATCATGCAGCTGTGGACAAGTCTACATAGGGACCACCAAATGCAGCATTGCCCAAACACGGATCAAGAAACATGAAAGGCACTGCAGACTACTTCAGCCAGAGAAATCAGCCATAGCAGAGCACCTGATGAACCAACCTGGACACAGCATTTTATTTGAGAACACAAAAATGCTGGACCACTCTCACAACCACCATGTCAGACTACACAGAGAAGCCATTGAAATACACAAACATGTGGACAATTTCAACAGAAAGGAGGAAACCATGAAAATGAACAAGATCTGGCTACCAGTATTAAAAAATTCTAAAATTGCAACAGCAAAAACAGCAGAGAGGAAACAGGCAGGGACATCTAATTACCTTTCAAGAAGAGTTTGCTCCAGGCACAGTCAGCCCATTATATGCTAATCAAGGTGGTCAGTTGAAACATTCACACCTAGCTCCAGCAGACAAGAGTCCTTTGTCTCACCCTGGTCATTCCACAGATATATAAACCCTTTTTCCCAGTTCCAACAGACCTCACCTCTGAGGATGCTTGCCATAGATGCAGGCGAAACGTCAGGAGAAATGCCTCTAGAACATGGCCATATAGCCCGAAAAAACCCACAAGAACTAGTGATTCCAGCCATGAAAGCCTTCGACAATACATATTCACTTTTCTTACTACATACCAGTGGTTCCCAACCTTTTTTTGACCAGGGACCACTCACTCTCCAATATTAGTACCAAAAGGGTTACGAATCAGTTTTTGGTCAACTTTAAATTCGGTTTGAGGTTCTGATTCAGAAAGAGGAAGGAGGGTTGCAGACCAGATTTTCATCCTCTCAGCCCACTGCTGGTCTGCGGCCCACAGGTTAAGAACCACTGCTATAGATAGATATAGATCAGATTCACAGGGTGTCCTAGGTGGTGGGTTCATAGCTGATGGAAAGGAGGGGAAGTGTTTGCTAGGATGCTGCAATGCATATATTTTGCTAGTTCATGTAATTTTTGCTTTTGCTTGTCACTTATATAGAATCTATATAAATAAAAATGTAATGTTTGTTTGTGGGATTAACAGAACTCAAAAACCACTGGACAAATTGACACCAAATTTGGACACAAGACACCGAACAACCCAATGTATGCCCTTCACTAAAAAAAATGATTTTGTCATTTGGGAGTTGTAGTTGCTGAGATTTATAGTTCACCTACAATCAAAGAGCATTCTGAACCCTACCAATTATGGAATTGAACCAAACTTGGCACACAGTTCTCCCATGACCAACAGAAAATACTGGAAGGGTTTGGTGGGCAGTGTCCTTTGATTTTGGAGTTGTAGTTCACCTACATCCAGAGATCACTGTGGACTCAAACAATGATGGATCTGGACCAAACTCTACATGAATACTCAATATGCCCAAATGTGAACACTGGTGGAGTTTGGGGAAAATAGAATCTTGACATTTGGGAGTTGTAGTTGCTGGGATTTATAGTTCACCTACAATCACAGAGCATTCTGAACACCCCAACGATAGAATTGGACCAAACTTCCCACACAGAACCCCCATGTGGGCCACAGCAACGCGTGGCAGGGGACAGATAGTGTTAAATAAAATGAATTTTGGTGGATTGTGGGAGTCCAAAACAGCAGGCACGTCCATACAACTTCCCAAAACCCGCCAACTGAAGCTAGATGCCAAAGAGGGGCCAAGGGGGGGGGGGGCAGGAGAATAAATTGGCTCTGGGAATGGACGCAAGCAGCCACTAGTTAGACCACTCCTGGAATATTGTGTCTAATTCTGGGCACCAAATTTAAGAGAGATGTTGACAAGCTGGAATGTGTCCAGAGGAGGGCGACTAAAATGATCAAGGGTCTGGAGAACAAGCCCTATGAGGAGCGGCTTAAAGAGCTGGGCATGTTTAGCCTGAAGAAGAGAAGCTTGAGAGGAGATATGGTGAGGGCAATGTATAAATATGTGAAAGGAAGCCACAGGGAGAAGGGAGCAAGCTTGTTTTCTGCTTCCCTGGAGACTAGGACGCGGAACAATGTCTTCAAACTACAAGAAAGGAGATTCCATCTGAACATGAGGAAGAACTTCCTGACTGTGAGAGCCGTCCAACAGTGGAACTCTGCCCCAGAGTGTGGTGGAGGCTCCTTCTTTGGAAGCTTTTAAACAGAGGCTGGATGGCTATCTGTTGAGGGTGCTTTGAATGCAATTTTCCTTCTTCTTGGCAGGAGGTTGGACTGGATGGCCCATGAGGTCTCTTCCAACTCTATGATTCTATGATTCTAAGAAGAAACACGATTGTCATCTTTAAAAACTTGAAATTGACATCAAATGGAACACAGAGACTCCAAGGCAGCAGAGGCAAGATATATTTCTTCATAAACTCCAGCAGAGCATTGTGGACAAGATCTGGCAAATACACTAATGTATA